CAAAGCAAAACCAAAGCTCAATGCAGTTATAGTAATTTTTAAAACTCAAGTAATAATAAAAAGCAACAACAACAATAATAATTAAAATAAAATTAAAATGAAAATGAAAAATAACAAATCCTCGCGGTCGCTGGCTGGTCGCAAAGGTAATTCCCACCCGGCCGGGTGCCTCCTGCATTTCCCCTTCTTGGTGCCTAGAAAAGAGCTTTTTTTTTTYCCCCTCCAAGTCTCGGCTCGGAGCACAAATCGTTTCTCTCCCTCCTAATTAAGAAACCTCCGGGGCGCCTTTGGCGGCCCGAGATTCGCGGTGGCAAATCCGGGGTGGCTGCAGGGGCCGCGGAAAAGCCGCTTTGCCCCCGGGCAGCGCGTAATTCCCGCCGGGAACAGAGCGCGGAGCCCCCGGGCGCGGGCAGGGCTGGCGGGGCCGGCAGCGGGAGGCGGGCTGGGAGCAGCCCCTATTCCCGCCGCATTCCCGCTTGGAAGGAGCCGGGCACGGAGGAGAAGGACATGAAACGAAAGAGGCCCCGAAGGTGGCGGCGCGTGAGGGGCGGCTGCGACGGGGGCACCCGGGGTGCTCGGTGGGGGGGTGTCCCCTCCTGGGGTGGGAAAAGGGGACCCTGGCACCCACTTCAAATACATCAGAGATGACTTTCCAAGGAGCAAACGAAAGAGGGATGAGAAGGAGGGAGAGGGTGAGAGGAGCAGCGTGTCTGTCTGTCCGCGGGGATGCTCTGGGTGAGCACACGGCCAACGGCTCCGGAGCCGTTCGGCATCCCTGGTGCATCCCCCCATCCCGACTCCCAGCCCTTTCCTTCCCCTTCGGCCATCGGGAAGGGCCGGATGCGCTGCCGGCAGGTGCAGCCCGTCCGTGCGTCCTGTCCCCTCGACAGCCTCGTTAATCGGTAACGCGGCGGCCTCCGGCAGCGAAGGGCAGAATGTGGAAAATCAGGCCCCGGCGCCCCGGAGCGTGGCCACGGGCACGGCGGGCGCCTTGGGAAAAGGTGACCRGGATTCAAAGCGGTTCCTCCTCCGCTCGGCCACTCCGGGGCCGAGCTGCTCTCCCTGCTCCGGAGCCCCTGCACCCTCCTGGTTCCCGACCCCCCGCTTCAGCTTCTCCCTTTCCTCCTTCTCCCTCTTCTCTTTTCTGAGAACTCACGGATACACTAAGTTTGGGAAAAGCTTTCCATGCACGACCCAGCCAGTGGGTTATTCCTTAGCACCTTCCTAAGTCTCTTTTATTTTTTTTAAGGTGTCTTAAGAGATCCCCAGATGATGGATCCGTAGGAACAGTGGGGATCATGGTAGATCCTGCTTGAGCACCAGTGGACAGGAGGGAGAACTTAACCTGTGGGCTCCAAGAGCTYCTGAGGGCTAATCCCAACACTAGGATCAGGAACTGGCAACCACAGAGGTCACACAGTCGGAGTAGGAGCTGGGAATGACAGAAGAGCAGCCAGTGGATATGCTGCTGGGTCCTCCATCCTCTCGGCAGTGATTCCTGCTTGTGCCCGGGGCAGTTTTGATTTGTGGATCCATAAAGATACACCAGGAGGAGCATCTCCTGCCACGGATGCTCCCATGCAGTCAGTCCTGAGCTGGGGCCAGGCCATCCCTGTGTGCGGTACCCGCATTGAGAGTCCCCTCRCCAAGGGCCACTGGCACCTGGGATGTTCCCGCGGCCTGGGGAGAAGCAGGCAGGAGATTGGGAAGCTGCAGGGAGCTGGGAGACTGCAGGGATTCAGGAAGGTGGTGAGTGAGGAAGGCAGTGATCCAGGCGGTGGTCATTTAGGGAGCTGCAGTGATTTAGGGATGTGGCGATTTGGGCAGCTACAACGATTCAGGGTGCTGCAGGGACCAGGGAGGCTGCAGGGATTTGGGAAGCTGCACTGGAGGAAGGCTGCTCCAGGGAGGCTCCCGAGCACCTTGCAGACCCCAGCCTGTTGGGAGCTCCCTGTCTCCTGCGCTGCCGGTGGACAGATGGATTTCCCGGGAGATCCAGATGGAGCACAACCTTCCTGTGCTTCCTTTCCCAGACTGTCCCTTCCCTTTCCAGGCAGGAGAGAAGGATGTTTTCCACTGCTCCTTGGGCTGCTTTTGTGCATACACAGTTCTCATCACAGTTCCCCGTACCCATCCCAGCTCCAAGGTCTTGTCCTAGCTCCCAGTTCCTATCCCAGCTCCTGGGTCTCATCTCAGCTCCCAGTTCTCATCCCAGCTCCCAGTTCTCACTCCAGCTCCTGGTTCCCATCCCAGCTCCCAGTTCCCATCCCATCTCCCTGTTGCCACCCCAGCTCCATATTCCTTCCCCAGCTCCCAATTCCCACCCCAACCCCCAGCTCCCATCCCAGCTCCCACCTGCCCTTTACCAGCCCCTAACCCCGGCACCCCGCCAGCTCCCGGGAAGGCTGGT